CCTCCCTCTCTCCCCTCCCTCTCTCCATCTCTCCCCTCCCTCCCTTCCTCCCTTGCTCTCTCCTGCTCACAAACACACATTCTCACAGGCCTTTTTTCTGATGTCTGTCAAGGTATTCAGGTACATAAACTGTGGAACAGACACTGAGGAGAGGTACCTGGAACTGACTGAGCTTAGAGCCTACCTGGATAGTGAATCACAGTAAAGATAACCCTAGTTTTTAAGAACACTCAGCTTATTAATGCCTCAAACAGTTGATAGGCATGAGAATTACTCTTCAGTGCTGGATTGCCCTCCAACTGACCTTGCTGACTCTGTCCTAGGATTGATCCAAAGCAGAATCTTTAAAGAGGCTGGGTTGATGGAGAAGGAACAGGAGAGGAAGGAATGGTTATAACCTTACAAGTGTTTCTTTCTCTGCCTATTACTGTATACTTACTAGTCTTGTCGTAGCACTAATTTTTAAAACCACACCCAGTGAGGGGCTGAGGGCTGGGGACCATGATCTCAAGGGACATCTAGGTTAGTTGGCATAGTTCATAAAGAAAATGTTCTACATCCTACTTTGGTGAGTAGCATCTGGAGTCTTAAAAGCTTGTGAGTGGCCATCTAAGATGCATCAATTGGTCCCAACCCACCTGGAGCAAAGGAGAATGAAGAAAACCAAAGACACAAGGAAAATATTAGTCCAAAGGACTAATGGACCACATGAACCACAGCCTCCACCAGCCTGAGCCAAGAAGAACTAGATGGTGCCTGGCTACCACCACTGACCGCTCTGACAGGGATCACAATAAAGGGTCCTGGACAGAGTGGGACAAAAATGTAGAACAAAATTCATGTTTGAAAAAAAGACCAGACTTAAACTGGTCTGACAGAGACTTGGAGGAAATCCCGAGACTATGGCCCCCGCTCCAAGTCAGACATGGAGCCGCTCCCGAAGTCCACCTTTCAGCCAAAGATTAGACAAGCCTGTAAAACAGACAATTATATACACATGAGGAACGTGCTTATTAGATCAGTCAAGTATACATGATCAAATGGGCAGCGCCAATCCAAAAGCCAAACAAGAAGGCAGGAAGGGACAGGAAAACTGGACAAATGGACATGGGGAACCGGGGTAGAAAGGGGGAGAGTGCTGACAGTGTTGAGGAGATTGCAACCAATGTCACAAAACAATTTATATGTAAATTTTTGAATGAGAAACATTTTCTCTGTAAGCTTTCACCTAAAGCACAATAATAAAATAAATAAATAAATTTGAGTTTAAAAAAAAAAACCACACCCTTTGAGGGAATAGTATTCTTGGTAATTAGCCTTATAAAATCCCTCAGGAAACTTCAGATAAGTTTCCTAGTGGTCCTGGAAGAGGATAACAACCCTTAGAAGCTATAGGCGGTCTCAGCAGAATATTATGCAAGTAGATTAATCCTTGAGCCTTTGGAAGAAGTGGAAGAGGGTGAATGAGGTCAGGAACAAGCCACTCACCCTGTAATCAACCTTACATTTCTGGAGCAAGTAACATCCTTCAATAGGGAAGAAGAAGAATGAGAATGTAGATGGATTCCTCACATCCCTAATTGGAAGTCTAAATGTATTTTTCATAGAAACATTGTTACACATTTTGGTAAGATCTTGTTAATGCATTGGAATTGCCCAGTATCTCAAATACGTTTATGTCTTAAAAAGTTAGACCGTGCTTGAAAACCCAGCCATTGCATTTACTATTTTTTTTTTCTTTCTAAATTTTATTTATTTTGTTGTTGTTGAGAATATCTACAGCACACATTGACCAGTGGAGCAGAATTGAGAGCCCAGATGTAAATCCATCCACCTACAGTCACTTGATCTTTGACAAGGGCCCAAAGTCCATCAAATGGGAAAAAAGACAGCCTTTTTAACAAATGGTGCTGGCAAAACTGGATGTCCATCTGCAAAAAATGAAACAGGACCCATACCTGACACCATACACAAAAACTAATTCAAAATGGATCAGAGACCTAAATATAAAACCAAAAACTATAAAGATCATAGGACAATATCCACAGCAAAACATACCAAGTCAGCAGTTTCTACTTGTACAGTTTAGTGGCATTGATTACATTCTTCAAGTTGTGCAGCCATTCTCACCCTCCTTTCTTGAGTTGTTCATCATTAAGGTAAAGTCACTCCCCCCTAAGATTCCTATCTAATTCTTCAAAGTTGCTGTTGTCAATTTGATCCCGTATAGGTGGTTCTTTTTTTTTTCTTGGTGTGTGTGTGTGTATACCTTTTCGTGAGTTGTTTTTTTTTTTTTTTTTTAATTGTGGTAATTAAATGAGGTTTACATTTCAGGTTAGTCTCCCATATAGGTAGTTCTTAAAAGAGCTTAATGCTCACGGTAGGCCTTTTTTACTGGTTAAGCTAAACTATTGTTTGATTTTCAGACGGCTTCAGGAAGTGTTTTTGGTTTAAGGTTTAAAGATTGTCTCAGTCATTGTATTTAATTTTATTTTTGGAGGGATGAACTTTTTAAACATAATATTGGAAGCTGGGGACTTTTTAACGACCTCCAGGAGAAGATGCTTGATGAAAACCATCTAGCTCCCCACTCCACCTGGAGAAATAGATCCGATGGGCCCCGTTGCTCTTCTTCTTCCCTTTCAGTACCAGATACTGGCAGCTATGTCCACTTGGACCCAAGCTCTGTTTTATAAGAATGAATAAGATTGATAGATTGCTCAGCAAGAAGAACCGTGATTTCTTTGATATGGACAAGAGGAGGAGAGAGTTTGAAAGCAGAAAGGGTGAGGAGTTCTTGATGTGATAGCCATATCATAATCGCCTAAATCTTTTTTTGCCACCATTCGAGCAAGTTACAGTATCTGTGAAACAAGGTATCCGTGAAACCAATACTGCTAATATTTTGGAATGCTAGAAAAACTTGACAGTTCTCTTTCTGTTCATTGTTTTTACTACTGGGATAAGGATTAGCTTTATAGTTTCTGGGAATCTGCCAATCTGAGTCACAAGTGAAGTTGGCGGAGTTGGGCTTTTAATAGTGCCTCTCTAATAGGTAGGGTTTCATACTTAAGAGCCACAAATATTGTAAAGTGTATACGGTAAAACCTGGGACCTGTGTAAGGCAGAAATCTGCCAGAGAAGGAAAACTATTTTCCACTAAGTAGAGAGCAACAGAAAAGTGACTGCAGCCTGTCAAAGGTGGAAGACTTGGCAAGACCCGGAAAAACTAGGCAGTCCTGTTGAGTTCCAGCTCTCACAGGTTTCACTGTGTATGTTTGGGAAAGGAGCAAAATAATTTCTCTTTCTGGAACGTTTAACAAATGAGGCGAGAATCCCAGGTCACAGGGTTTTTTTTTTTTTTAAACTACTGGGCCTTGCCTTACCAGTGCTCTTTATCTAATGTGGGTCTGATTATATCCAGGAATAAAATACCATTTAGGGTTCTCAGATACAACTTCCTGACAAATGCCACTCAACTGTAAAATCTCCATCCAGAATTGTCTATGCCTGTGTTGGTGCTGGACAGTCCCTAAGCAGGAGGTAGCAACTCCTCTGAACAAGAAAGAATTCCTTACCCTTAGAAGTAATCTTCTATGCTGTGTGTATCCAGTCAGGACCAGAATGGAAAGAACCTCTGACTGGAGATGTAAACATTGGTGAATCAAGTAGAGAAGGGGAACCCTTTCAGACCCCAAAGTTGTCTTAGGGGAATATGGAGAAATACAGAAATGATAAGTAAATCACCAAAAAAGGAATCTGTATCAGGACTTGGAACCTGTTTTTGTTTGAACCCCTGCTGAGAATTTGCATTTCTAACAAGTTCCCAGGTGATGCTAATGCTGCTGTTAGGGAACAATTCTGAGAACCACTAGCAGAGCAGTGGATCTAGAAATTTATTATACGTAAGAATCACCTGGGGATCTTGTTAAACTGTAGGTTCTGATTTAGTATATCTGGGGTGGAAATGCAAATTCTCAGCAGGGGTTTGAACCGAACGAACCAGTTCAAAGCCCTGATCCATACAGTTTATCTAGGCGTGACCATTATCCCAGAAACTTGGGGTTAGAATGAAAGGCTCTTTTCTCCCTCTAGTGGCTTCTTTTTCTGTAACCCCACGTTCTCAGCTTTCTGGGTCTGACCGGTGGTTGTAGATCAATCCAGACAAACTTAATAGTTTCCACGATGGTCATTCTCATCACCCTGTCTCCCTGTTCTATTTCCTCAGCTAAATTTGGTTGATTTTAGTAACTCAGTTTTTACCCTGTTGAGAAATTGAATGCCTATCCCAACCGTCAGGGATGCTATGTTCAAAAGGCATCCATATCCCAGCAGCCAAGAAGCTCTGAGAGATGGTAGAGAGCCTCTCAGGACTAAGGATCTGTGAGTGTTAAAGATTTGAGTTAAATGTTTAAGTAAGACCTAAGAACACATTGCCCTAGACATATATACTCCTAACTACACGGAAGAGCTCAGGGAAAGCAGACTCTGCAGAGATACTTTTGAGCTAAGAAATCAGAATAGTTAGAAGATATGGTCATTGATTTGGGAGCCTAAGACAGAGTTTCCAGGATTCTTGTTACTCGGGGCTTAAGCAGTGAATGCCGTATTTCATCATTTTAGAGAAACAAGTATAATGCTTTTAAGGATAGCCCCAGAAAGAGTAAAGCAAGTGTTAGCTAATAAATAGGATTGGAAGTAGGGGGAGCCAGTGTGGGAGATTTAGATTTGAAAGTCATTTCTAGACAGTTTTTTTTTTTTTTTTTGGAGTCAAGGTGCTAAATAGAACTCTGGCAAATAGCTGAGGGTTCCATATATTTAGTTGTGGAGCTTCGGTCCTTCTTCAAAAGGCTATTGTCACTGTACTGGCACTGTCCATTTTCTCAAGCCACCGACGACGGTACCTTCTTTTGCCTTAATTCCTGACAGGATAGACTGTCATTCGAGTTGTCACGTAACCTCCTTTCTTGTAAATCCTTACACAGCCAGGACCATGTTACTATTGGTATAATGAGCTGCCTTTTTATTGGTCTGTTACCTGTACCTGGAGTGGAGAACTAGGCTCCACTGCCTTTGCCCTTCTTCCCCCATAGAACTAACCATTTCTTCTTGAGCCTTCATGTAACAGCAGCCCATGGAGAGTGGAATATAGGGAAAACATTTAGAATTTTGGTTAAAATCTGTGTAATAAGAACATTCATCTCTAATTACTGTTTCTACAGCCAGCCAGTGTCTTTGCGCCTTTGGCCTTGTCTCCTCAGTCGAGTGTTTACAGGGGGAAATACTTTCCATGAGGTCTCGCCATCATTCACATCTGGGTGTCTTCTTTATCCTAGGATTTGAGTGCCCCTGCCTTCCCCTGGATGAATCAGGACAAACCTGAGTTCGCTTGGATTTCTTTGTTCATTGTAGAAAACAATTTTTCTTAAATTTTCAGTGGACCCTCGCTGTCGGAAATGCCTTAATTTTTCCTGTTTTTTTTTGTCTAGTGATCCAGACCGAGGAAGGCTGACTCCCTCCCCAGACATCATTGTTTTGTCTGACAATGAGGCTTCCAGTCCCCGTTCGAGCTCCCGAATGGAAGAAAGACTCAAAGCAGCCAACCTAGAGATGTTTAAGGTAAAAACAAATACACTATTTCATGCTTCTACTGAAAGAGTCTGTGTTCTGTTTTTTGACTATTTATGTTTTAGATCTACATAACTCCTCATTGATGAAAACTCTTTATAGTCATTCTCAACCTCAAGGGCATGTCTATTTAGAGGGAACGATTAGAATCAAGTGGGGCCCTGGTGGCACGGTGGTTAAATGTTAGGCTGCTGACCAAAATGTCGGCACTTCAAATCCACGAACCGTTTGGAAAGCCTGTGGGGCGGTTCTGTTCTATTCAGTCCTGTAGGTTCGCTATGAGTCGGGATTGACTCGACGACAGTGGGTTTTTTTTTTTTTTTTTTTTTTTTTTGTTTTGTTTTTTAGAGTCAGGTAGAGAAGATAGTTTGAAAAGTATATTCAGTATAATGTCTTTGGAAAATGAAAACAACTTCATACTTCAAGTCACATAAAGTAAATTCTTGGCTGGAAGGATCCCTCCTACATTCTATCCTGAGTCTCAGATGAGGAGGGATTCCTAAGTTCTTAGGTATATTTAGAGGAAACATAGCTTTAAAAGATTTAGAAACATTACTTTAGAGGAAACAACAGTGTTCCCCTTTTGATCATTCTTCCAATTCACCAGGAATCTAGTCAGTTAGCATTTATATTTGGGCTCTCTATTCATTCACAAGCATTTGAGTAGCTACTGAATGTCAAGCGTGGTGCCAGACCCCAGGGATACAAAAACAACAGTTCTGTTACCACTCTGCTGCTTCAGTGGGAGATGAAGGTTTTAGACCTTAGAAGTAGAGATCATCTTTTAGGAAGGGGTTGTGGGTACCTGCTGCCATAGCAGACTGTCTCTGTGTTTCCCCAGGGGAAAGGCATTGAGGAACGGCAGCAGCTCATCAAGCAGCTGAGGGATGAGCTGCGATTAGAAGAAGCCCGACTGGTGTTGTTAAAGAAACTGAGACAGAGTCAGCTCCAGAAGGAGAATGTGGTCCAGAAGGTAACGTGCCCTGGAAATAGGGGACTAGAGAGATGAAAGACAAGCTGGGTTACAGGGGGCTGCCCTGGGTCGGTTCACCTGGGTGGGTCATGAAAGATAAGCGGGGTTAGAGGGGGCTGCCCCGGGTTGGTTCATCTGGGTGGGTCAGTCTCAGGGTTTTCTGTCTCTAGGTGTAATGATTTTTTTTTTTTTTTTCGTTTAAATCTTAGGCCCTAATCAAGGAAACCTTGATTCCATTTTTCTTGTTTTTCTCCTTGTTAACAGGAGCTTGACACCAACAAGGAGTTTTAAAAATCTAGAAATGTACCAGATTTTCATAGTGTCATTTTCTCTTCCCTCTTCCAGACTCCAGTTGTACAGAATGCAGCATCTATTGTTCAGCCGTCTCCTGCCCATGTGGGTCAGCAGGGCCTATCCAAGCTTCCCTCCCGGCCTGGGGCCCAAGGGGTTGAACCTCAAAATTTGAGAACATTACAGGTATGTGGTCCATAATGAGAAGGCCAGAGTCCAGAGGGCCCTGTCTATCCTCTCTCTGTTATGGGGCTTTTGTAAAGATTATAGAGGAGAAGAACCTATCCAGGATTTAAACAAAAACAAAAAAAAACTGTTCCCATTGAGTCGGTTCCAACTCATAGCAACCCTATAGGATAGAGTAGAACTGCCCCATAGAGTTTCCAAGGAGCACCTGGTGGATTTGAACTGCCGACCTTTTGGTTAGCAGCCGTAGCTTCTAACCACTGCACCACCAGGCTTTCCATAATAGAAGTGTTAATACTACAGATAGCCCTGTTGGTCCTGTATGGCATGATTTAGTCTATAATAACAGGATGAATAATCAACATTTTTCCACTGTAGTTTTTCTTCTCTAGAAAAGGTTTCCACCTTAGTTCTTTTCCGTGTAGAGTTAGGTAACTTATACCAAAAAAGCCAGGGAATTCCTAGCCACTAATCAGGATGTGGAGCCCTGGTGGCGCAGTGGTTAGGTGATACGGCTGCTAACCAAAAGGTCGCAGTTCAAATCCACCAGCCGCTCCTTGGAAACTCTCTGGGGCAGTTCTGCTCTGTCCTCCAGGGTCGCTGTGGGTCGGAATCGACTCCACGGTAATGGGTTTGGCTTTGGTCTTTACTCAGCGCTGGCAGTGACGGTAGATTTCTCCCACAGGTTGTTAGACAGAAATGCCAGGTCTTACTCAGCTGTGTATGGCAGGTGGTATCATCTCTTCAGCATTTTGTGGTGTGTTATTCTGCCTGTGGGAGCCCTGGTGGTGCAGTGATTGAGAGCTCGGCTGCTAACCAAAAGGTCGGCAGTTAGAATCCACCAGCCGCTCCTTGGAAACTCTGTGGGACAGTTCTGCTCTGTCCTGTAGGTCGCTATGGGTCGCAGCCGTCTCGACGGTAACTGTTTTTTTTAAATATCACCTATGACGCATTCTTTTCCTCTTCTCCCCCTTCAGGGTCACAGTGTCATCCGTTCAGCGACCAACACCACCCTTCCACATATGTTGATGTCTCAACGTGTTATTGCCCCAAACCCAGCTCAGCTACAGGGTCAACGGGGCCCCCCTAAACCTGGCCTTGTGCGCACCACGACACCCAACATGAACCCTGCCATCAATTACCAGCCGGTAAGAGGGAGCCCTGATGTGATAACAGAAAGCCTTTATTTGCTTTCCCTGTTGAAAGGGCCATATGTTTTAAGTTTGGGGACATAGAAAAGCTCTAGGGTAAAGGTAATTTGAGTGGATTGAAGCAGTCCCAAAAGTGGAAGCTTTGAGGAATGATAGGAAAATAGTGGTGGAGAGGAGAGGGTCTACAGTCAGGAAGCTAAAATCTGCTCAGAAGACAGAGATGGAGGGATCTAGGGAAGAAGGAGCCCAAGGACATACGACATGAGAGCATCTCTAGTCTGTATTGTTCTCAGAGCAGCTTGAGCTCACAGCCATCGTTGTTTTTAATATATGCCAGAGTTCTTTTTCAGTGAATAAGTTGAACACCTCCTGTCTTTTTTTTCCTGAGTTTTTGAGAAGCTGAGTAGTCGAGAGCAGGATCAGAGTGTGTCCTCTGCCAAGAAAGCAAGAATCGGCCCTTTCTCCCACGTACCATGAGTGACCCCTGTTCTCAATGTATTTCAGCAGTCAAGTTCTTCTGTTCCCTGTCAGCGAACAACGTCCTCTGCCATCTATATGAACCTGGCCTCCCATATCCAGCCAGGGACCGTGAACAGAGTGTCCTCACCGCTTCCTAGCCCCGGCGCCATGACTGATGCTGCCAACTCACAGGCTGCAGCCAAACTGGCTCTTCGCAAACAGCTGGAAAAAACACTCCTGGAGATTCCGCCCCCGAAACCTCCTGCTCCCTTGCTTCACTTCCTGCCTAGCGCAGCCAATAGCGAGTTTATCTACATGGTGGGCTTGGAAGAAGTCGTGCAGAGTGTCATTGACAGCCAAGGTAAGCCTGTTTCTACCACTCGGTCTCTCTAAGCAAGAGGTTGCCATGGGGCAGGTTGTCACCGGGTCCTGTGTGATACAGAATAACCTCTTACTATTGCCAGACCACCTCCCGTCCCGTATTTAGAGGCTGTTTGGTAGCAGCAGATCAGAAAAGCTTTTTGTGTTTGTGTATATTTTGGGCTTAATATTTTTATTGTGCGTTTTCATATCTGTCTTACTGTTTGCAGAATATTCAGTTGGTTTAAGTGGTGCGTAGCATGATACTCGCATCATTTGATGAGTAGACGTGTGTTTTTAATGTTAGTGTTTGTGTGGATTGTGCTGCATTATACAGGTGCCATCACTACCCTTTGAATGCTTACAGGTGAGAAAATCAGCATACTCGCTGATGGGGACAGCTAAGCATAGGGGGAAATAACCAAGTAAAAGTTGTAAGCCAGTGCTGAACTAGATTATAAAGTATTAACAAACACCATACAGTCTAGACTAATGGAAGTTCTTAGCCTGAATTTGCAAACATCTGGACTTTTGGGAACACCTGCCATAGAGGGAAGTGTCTGGAGGTCTCAGTATAGCTGTAAACAGATCACAAAGTGAACAATTCCATCACTAATACCTAAACGTCACATGTACATAAGAGGGATAAGTGAAAAACGGAGATGCTAAGAAGCAGAAATACTGGTTGAGTTAGGTGGAGTCTCGTGACTCTGAACTGACAGAGTATTTTCTTCTCACGGTGATAAAGTGTGAAACCAGAAGACTTGGATTCTAGTCTCAGCTCTGTCAGTTAGGAGCTATTCCCTGGATTTAGTACCGTCTGCATTTACAAATGAGGAAGACTATTTGAATTTCCTAAAGTGGTATAGTGTTACAGTCAAGTGAGATAAAAGTACTTTATAACTCAACAAAAACCAAAAATAAATCGTTAAAAAAAAAGAGTGATTTGTAAATTGTAGAGTTAGCAGTCTCTGTTTCAATTCAGCAGAATAAACTCCTGATAAAACATGGTTTGGTGAACAGAAGCCGAGGAGATGGAGAGGTGAAGGTGCTGACTGTTCTTTTTCTTGGCCTCCTAGGCAAAGTCTGTGCCTCCCTTCTGCGGGTCGAACCCTTTGTGTGTGCCCAGTGCCGCACAGATTTCACCCCCCACTGGAAGCAGGAGAAGAACGGTAAGATCCTGTGTGAACAGTGTATGACCTCCAACCAGAAGAAGGCTCTGAAAGCTGAGCACACCAACCGGCTGAAAAACGCCTTTGTAAAAGCTCTGCAGCAGGAACAGGTAGGAGTTCTGACTTCTGTCTGCCTGGGTCTCCCAAAGGCTCGCCTCTTCTAGCTTAGACGCCTTGTCCCTGTGAGTCCCACAGACCTCTGGACATGGAGACCTGGGTTCCTTTTCTTTCTCCTCAGCAGTCTGTCTTTCCCATTTCCATTTGATCATTTCTGAATGGGTAAGGACATAGGAACATGTGATAGATGGAGTTGGGGGAAGGGACAAAGGCTGAGACCTGGCTTTCCCCGTAGTGCTAATGAACACCCTCTATTCTCAATTTTGTTTCCTCCTCAAACCAGTGGATTTTGGTGAGAGGAATTTATATTTGTACTTTAAAGCTTTTTGGGAGAATAATTATCTGTAGTCCATAGTTGATGAAGAAATGAAAAAAGAAAAGGTAGATTATAAAGTAGCCCCATGAAGAATAGTGGTGCTAGAGTATATGAACATCTACAGTATTTATAGAATGAGAATATCTTGGAGAGGGGAGGTTGTGTTGGGAAGCTCAGATACTTTTCCTCTATTCCATTTCTCACACTGCTACCTGTCAGACCCCTTTGTTTGGGTAGCATCATGGACTTCCTAGAAAATGGGTAGGCAGGGGTCAAAACCCCAGTAACTCATCAGCCTTAATTAATCAGTCACCTCATGCCTAACACCCAGATGCAGCCAGCTTCTGAGAGCTAGCTTCCCTGAAGAGAGGAATTCCTTAATCACAGAAGCAAGCTGGCTGCCTGTACCCAGAGACTTCAGCACACCCACCCTACCAGACTCTCTTGCCTTCTCCACATCCTTCCAACTAATTGGCAGCATTAGAGATAAGAAGACGTCTAGGTTTTCTGATTAGGAAATTGGGTGCTGTCCTGCCCAGACTGACCTGATGACTCCCAACAGGAAATTGAACAGCGGTTACAGCAGCAGGCAGCCCTCTCCCCCACTACGGCTCCAGCTGTGCCCAGTGTCAGTAAACAGGAGACCATCATGAGACATCACACGCTTCGGCAGGTGAGGAACTTTTCCCCGACCCTGATTTCTCTCGAGGCTTTGTAAAGCATTTATCTCGCCGTGTCTCTTCTGCCGCAGGAAATCACAGCTCTTCTGCTTTTCTCCCATATCCTTCTCCCACCTCACCCTCCATGGTGGAAAGTTATACTCAGCTGTCTCCTCCTCATTGCAGGCTCCGCAGCCCCAGAGCAGCCTCCAGCGTGGCATACCCACATCTGCCCGCTCCATGCTTTCCACCTTCGCACAGGCACCCCAGCTGTCTGTCCCAGGTGGCCTCCTTGGCATGCCAGGTAAGAAGGGTTCGTATGAGTGTTTCTCTCAGGGCTCAGCTAGTTGGCACACAATTCGTAGCAGCTGCTTCAGGTGAATTGTTCCTTCTTGTGCTTTCTGCCCGCTCGTTACAGCTACTCCCTTGACGCTTCCGTTATCCAGCTTGTGTTTGATCAGTTCCTGTTACAAGCCAGGCGTAGTGCTGGGCACGAGGGTTGTGGTGGTGAAAGTGACAGTCCTTGCCATTAGAGATCTAAAGGGTGATGTTCCCTCAGTGAGCATGTGGTTATTGACCTGTTTTGGCCAAGACAGTGGGGTCAGCTGTCCTGATCGTGTTGGAATGATCCAGGGTGCTTTTCCACAGTCAGCAGCCCCCGAATCAAAGCAGATTCAGTGATTCCTTGTCTTTCTCTTGAGTCTTTTCCTCTCACCACTGTTCTGCCTGTCTCTCCTGTATCGTTAGGACGATGTGCATTATTTTTGGTGGAATTAAGATTTCAGGACGATCTCTTCCCCGAAAGCTGGGGAGCCAGAGGGGGAGTTGCTGCTGGAATAAAGCCAGCTGAGTCTGGAGGAGCGCACACAACTTTGGACGTTTCCTCTCCTCCAGCTCCGCAGCCCCAGGGTCGTGCAGAAGGGACGGCCACTTCCTCTTTTAATACCTGCCCCCCTTTTGTCTTCTGGTCCAGGTGTCAACATTGCGTACTTGAGCACTGGCATTGGAGGACACAAAGCCCCCAGTCTGGCAGACCGACAGCGGGAATACCTCTTAGACATGATCCCTCCCCGGTCGATATCGCAGTCCATCAGTGGACAGAAATAACGCCTGTCCGTCTGTCCTGCCCCAGCCTTGAATCCTTGACCCGTTTCCTCTCCTGTTGCCCCCACCTTCCGTCGCATGCAGCCTGTGCCGGCGCCTACCATACACGGAAAACAAACCAGAAACAGAAGACAGAAAGTGGACATCAGCAAGGACACACACGCCCTGCCCCGCACCTTCCCTTAGCTCAGACTGCTGCGACCTGTCCTCCTGCCGCTGTCCTCTCTCTCCAGTTTCCTTTAACAGTGAGGTGGAGCTGCGCCTGCTAGAGGTCAGAGTGAGGCCTGGGGAGAATCTGTGCCCTCTGACGTGTGTTTCTGAAGTTTGTTTTTATGCTATAATTATTATCATTTTTAATGATGATGTGTGTCCTCCCTTTGTTCAGTGAACGGTTAAATCCTTTTCCCCCCCCCCCCCGTTTTTTTCTTTTCTTTTTTTTAAACACAAATTACATTCAGTTAAATGATAGGAACATTGCAGTAGGGTCCCCAGCTGCTGAGTAGGACGTGACCGGGACTGTTGGGGCAGAAGTTTGTAATGCACTTAACCCAGGGTGAGTGGGAGCTGGCAGCATCAAATGAGGAGGAACAGCAGCCCAGCTGTGGGTGTTTCTGGACTGGAGAGCTTGGGAGACAGTGTTAACATTGGGCTCTAAGAATGAGGGGAGAGAGCCTGGAGGGAGAAGCTTTAAAACCCAACCACCCTGGAGTTTATCCAGGGAGGGAGGGAGGGTGTGATGATGAACATAATGTTGCGCCAGCGGGGACTGAGAGTAGGTCCTGGCCGCCTTGATGCTGGGGGACAAGATTGGTCTCCTGACCCCAGTGGGAGCACGGAAGTCCTTTCCAGGCCAGCTAGCCCCAATTCATTTCATCTTACTTTCTTCGTAAAATTCCCTCCCATCCCTCTTTTCTAAATCCTAGTCTATCCCTTCTGACCACAGCCCCGTTCTGTATAGAGGATGGCTGTGGCCGTACTGTTCCCAGGCAGTTTGCTGGGTGTCCTAGAAGTTGGAATAGGCATTGAGTGGGTGAAATAACAAAAGGGGGAAAATAGACTTGGAGGCAGGAAGAGGGGCTTTCTCTCCCAGCGGTTGGGGTTCTCACATCTGTCTGTCCCCTATGAGTGTGGGGAGGTGAGAGAGGCTCCCTAGTTGGCCTGGAGCCCTGCCCGACTCTGCCTCACTCCCTTTGAAACCACTGCTCAGAGCCAGACAGGTCAGATCAAAACCAACTGCGGACCTCCGCTCTGAAGGCAGTCGTGGGTTTTTTTCCAGGATTCTGTTGATTTTGCTTTTTTGTTGTTTTTATTTTTTTCTTAAGTGCTACTAATGTAGAGAATGAATTGAATTGTGCAATGTTGCTGTTCTGGGGGTTGGGGGGATTAGCATCCCATTTGCCCCCGTTGTGGGGAGAAGGGGAGGAGGCCAGCCGTTTCTGAGGTCAGAGGAGCCCGGTGAGGTAAGGGGTTCTCTCTCCTTGTGGTGTACACACGCCCGACTCCGCAGCTCTGAATGCCGCCCCCGCCGAACGCCGCCCCCGCCCCAGCACACTGCAGGGAGACTCTGGGCAGAGAGGTGTGAGGAGGGGTTTGGTATTTGACCCTTGAAAGCCACCTGGGGAAGTTCCTCCACTTTTGTTTTTAAAAGTTAAACAATTCTTTTAAAGTAAGGCACTTTTAAAATGAACACACACACAAGCTGCACATCTTTCCCCTTCAAGTTTGGAGGTGAGTGGGCGAAGGAGCTGGAATCAGGCTCAGTTCCCCCCACTGGCCTCTACTCCCAACAGCCCAGTACCACTGCGGGTGATGATGCTGGCCCTGCGGGCCTTCCCGGCTCTTTTGTCTTTCTTCCCTTGCCCTCCTTTCATTGAGCACTTAATAAAGGAGCAGAGACGTGGCCTGTGTCTGCGCTCCCCCAGTGGTGAAATCATCTGGAAGCTAGATGCTAGTGAACAGGTAGTGATGGGGTCGTTTTCGAGTATTTTTCTGGGGAATGTGGTACCCCTGACTGTAAGTGGTGGGGGAGGGAGGGGGGTTAATGGAACTGGGTCTGGGATTATTTTAAAATTATATATATATATATAAAGATATATTCTTACATCTTTTTTTTGCCCTCTGTGCTTTGAAAGCACTGGATAAATCGTCTGGTTTTGCTTTTCTCTCTTCCACAAAATTGGAAGCTAATTTTTTTAATGTTTTCCCTACAAGTCATCTTGCCTCGTGGCATGTCTGTCTAGCCTTGCCCCCCCCCACCCCATGATGAAGTGCCATTTCTGTTATGTCTCTCTCCTCCCCAGCTCAGAGGTGCTCAGAGGTACGAGGTGCCCAAGTTTGTCAGTTGAGATTAAAAGTAAGGAACAGAATGTGCAATACCGTCTGGCTGGGGGCTGTCCTGCCCTGAGCTGAGGCCCTTCCCTGGAAGCCAGGCCACCTTTGAATGGGGTTTGGAAGTAAGATTAAGAGATGGGGCTTGATGGGGAGGCAAGCCTGGAATCAGAGGTCTGCTGAGGGGCTCGGGAGGGGGTGGTGTCTCCCTCTCTGTCCCCTCAGGGTCAAGGACGGAGAAGCTGCTTGGTGACGAGTGGAGCTCTGTGGCCCTTGGCTCAGTTGCTGAGGTTTTATTTCTTTCCCCTCTCCTCCCTATTTTCATACCCTTCCCAGGGATTAGTGATGGGGGTGAGGTCTCCCTAATCATGGTGAAGTATTAGCTCTCCACCTCTTCCCCTCCCTCCTTCTCCCCCACCCTCTGTCTTCCACAGTTCTCTGCTTTTTCATCACTGATTGCCTTGTGTCCCTCCAAGTCTATTTTTACTGCCCATCCCCAGGCCTCAGGCCCTTTAGACACTAAATCTCATGCCCTCAGGATAGAAGGAAGGACCTTCTGTTCCCCTAGAGCGCTGAAGCTCAGGGTAGTAACAGAGCGAGGATCCCACCAGCTCTGCCTGGCCGCCTCCGTATCCCCAGAGGCCCCCAGAGTGCTAGTTTGTGGGCAGTGTCTTACTCCTTGAGAGCCTGAAATGGGTGGATTAGTGGTAAGGCTTGGGTCAAGCTGGGGGACAGAGGTCCTTACTGGTCAGTTTATTTCGTCATTTGACCACAGCGTCCAGACTCCCTCCATCCCTGGACTAAGTATTTTTCCCACGTTTTTGGATGTATGTATGGTAGACTTTTTTTTTTTTTTTTTTTTAAGACACAGAGATAAATGTTCTCCTGCTTTGGTTACCTTTCCTTTCCCCTTTAAAAGGAATTAGCTATAGAACTGCTTTGTAAAGATGCTTCTTGATATTTTACTTTTTTCCTTCTTCCCACCCCGCTATTTTCTCCCCGCCCCTCCAGAAGGCAAACCCTGCTCCCCAGCCCACCCGTCCCAGTCCCGGGCTCCCTCCTTCCGACATGACCTTCATTAGCTTATGATATTTGCTGCCGAGATGTTATAACAAGGACTCATTCGTGTATATAAGCTATTTCTTGATCATTTAAAAGGAATTGTACATTGTGTAGAAAAAAAAAACCTGAAAAAGAGAAAAAAAAAAAAAAGCCCTAGCCATGGATATTGTGAAACCGTGTTATGTCATTTTGTAATGTGCCCGTTTGTGTATGATCCGTGCAAAAGGGTTTCTGGGGAAGGGGCGGGGGTAGGGAGGCAGGGCTGTGGAGGGTGGGTCAGGGAGTGGGTCTGGCCCAGCACACTAAGACTGGCAGCAGCTCCAACCCTATCCCTCCTTAGAGATGCCACCTCCCCCACCACCCACCCCTAATTTGTGCCTTGCCTCCCCACCCTGGAGGAGCCCCTCCGGGTCACCAGCACTGCCTTGGCAGAGCCTACTCCCTACCCTCACCTGCCCACCCTCCCTCCCCCCCAGCATTAGGGTGATACTGTGGGGACGTGCTGGGGACTGGGAGGTAGCCGAGGAATGGGGCAGTTCCTGGGGGCATCGAAACCAAGTATTATTATGAATTGTAATTGTATTTGCACTGTTTTTTTTCCTCTGATTGCATCAGCATATATACAATATACCTATATAACAAAATTCAGTGTCAAACTTTCTTATGCAAGGGACTTCCCCTGCGGCCCCTCCCCGCCCCCAAGAAAAAGAGAAAGAACCTAGTCTGAGGGGCCTTCAAGGGTGGCTTATCAGGGGATGTTAGAAAGAAGGGATTTTCATAAGTTATCCTAAGGAAGTCTCACCTGGTGAGAGTCACATCCTTCTGCACACAGTTTGAGATTGCATGCATTAGGTGAGGCTGGCCTACTGTGAAAGCTAGGACTCCTGGTCCAGGTCTGTGGGGAGTGAAGAGAACCACCAGCACAAAGGAAGGTGGGGTGGCGGCACAGTCTGCAGACCTGGGGTCTTGTCCCAAGCTTTCTCACTAGTGTGACCTTTGGCAGAGTGAATTTTTGGATCTGTTTCCTCATCGGTGAAGTGAGGGGAGTGATCATACCTGGCCACCAGGTTCAAAATTCTATGCTTCCTTCCCCCACAAAAAACAGAACTTGAGGGAAGTGTTGGATGAAGAACCAGGGAGGAAATCACGGTGACTAGTGTTGAGGTAGTTATGCGTGATGAGGCCTTGGAGAGCTGCCGGCCCCTTACTGTTGTTACTCCTTGGTTTGAGAAAGGCGGCAGTGATACCTAGGACATCACAGATCAGTGACATCTTTGCCCTTGTGCCTCTAGTCATCCGTGGGTGGGGGCTAGACCCCAAGCCTCACCTCACAACCCACCACAGAGCCCTTAAGGGTGGTTGACCAATGAATGCACAAACTCCTTTGTGAGCTACAGGATGCAGACCTTCCCCCATCTTGGTGAGGAAATAGGAGAACTCTGATACAGTCCACACCTTGTCTCCTTCCCTCAGATCTCATCTGAACCCTAAAGGCAGCTGTTTCCCAGGTTGCCTCCTTCAGGGGCCCTGTTTCCCCACAGCCTGGGCTGAGCGCTCCCACTCTCCCTAGGTTCTTAGCTGGTAAAGCTGGAGAGGATATGGGATGATGGCGGGGCCCTGGTGAAAGTGGAGAGAGAGGTGGGGGTGGGAGCAGGGAGGTGGGACGGCCTTCCCTGAGTTGGGTGGGCGGAGGGGGGAACAGGACCCTTTTGCACAACTACTTTAAGTTTCCTCCTCTTTTTTTTTTTTTTTTTTTAATAAACTCATTCTAATTTTCCGCATTGTGTTTGGGAAATAAAATGAAAAACTTAAGACCAATAGAAACTGGTTTTCAAAAGGCAAATACACTCCCATCTGTTTCAGATGCTGCTGAGCATTTCAGCAGTGACAGATTCAAATAATAAGCTAATTTTTGGAGAAAGGATTAAAAGAAAAAAACTTTGTAATATTTATCACTTGCAAGCTATGTTTAATAAAGAAAGGAATGGTTTCTAAACTTTCCTGTGATGTGCTTTAGTCATGGTGGGGTGGGATTGGCAGCCTGCTGGCAGAATTTTTGGGGTGGTTGAGAGATGAACTGTGGCTTTGAAGGCCCTGTGGCCCAGCCAGGAAGACCTGGTGTGAACCCTCTTCTTCAGCTGGGTGATGATTTAAATCCCTTACTACTACTTGTCCACTCCACCTCTGGGTGGAGCCAGCGTTCCAGAAGCCATTGACCCCACTTAGTTACTTGATGACTTGAAGTCTTGCTCTTTCCTTAGCAAGCTGCGGGATACAGTTCCTCAACAATCGGAATGCGACCCCTCAAAGACCTGAAAGTGCACTGGTCCTACGCTTCATCACCCCACCCCGCAAATTCTCCTTTCAACCCAAAGCATTAACCAGATCCTGTTTTTTCCATTTTGATTTTTATTTCCAACAAAGCACTCAGACCAGACCCAGCCAGAGGAGAGGTGTCATCTCCTTAAGGACTTAAAGTTGGGGGCTGCTTTTAGTCTCCTTGGTCCCCTGCCACATGTCTTAGTTAAAGCTGCTTCTGCCCCTCATGCAGAGGGAGCGTTGTGGAGGGGCAGGGCCCAGCCTTGCTGGGGTCTTGTCATTGGTACTAACATCACTCTAGAAGAGCACAGAGGAGGGAAGGTTTGGGGCCCCCCTGAGCCCAGGGTCTGTCCCCACTTTTTGGCACAATTTGAACAGCCCTGGAAGGAGAGGCTGGGGCTCTGGCTTTAGGGTATTACGGAGCTGGGTGAAGAGGGACTGCGGGCCCTCTGTGCTGTAGGCTGGCAGAGGGAGCAGTGGGAGAGAGGCTCTCTTTGGACATCTAGAACTGAGGGATAGGTGGTGGGGTTCTCCGCAGCCTCTGTGCTCATTCTGCAAGGAGTTTGAGGCCGCCAAGAGCCCAACTCAAACTAATAACCTGCGTTCAAAAATATCAGTCAGGTGGGGTGGGGGTGTGCCCTGAAGAGGGGCAGTGCTTTGGATCTGGGAAGGGGGAGGTGGCTATTTGGTTGCTCAGAGAAGTTCATGTGAGCTCAGATGTTGGGGACTCTTACTGGGTTGGGGCACGGGGGCAAGAAACTCAGCGCCCCCTTTGCCTAGCTGCCCGCTCAGAGCATAGGCAGTGTTAAGTCGCCTGACCTGGGTCAGATTCCGCTTGGCCAGGAACTGAGATCTCATGCTTAGGGGGCTTCTGGTTGTGAGAGGGAGGTGGTGACAGACCCCCCCCCCCCCGCCTTGCCTTCCCCCTTTGGGAGGGAACCCTTAAGGCTATAGATACGTCTTTGGGTAAGTTCGTATTTGGAGCAAGAAAAGGTGGATAGATTGGATGGGGGTTATAAGGCAGGAGTAACTGGGTTAGGGGTAACTCCCAGCTGAGCTTCGTTTAGCTTGAGGTGGTTTGGTGTGCTGGGGGGAAGGACACATATTCCCCTATTTCTTGAGATGCAGCGGCCAGGAACAGAGAAACTATACCCTGTTCTCTCCCGCTGTGGCCAGGCCTGCCCCTCCCCAGAGAAGGGCTAAGGGGCCTTTGATTCTTTCCTGACTCCGGGTAATGGGGACAGCTGAGGTAGATTCTTCGGGGGATCTGGAGTTGGTGGTATCTGGGAGGGAGCCAACTTGGAGGGCCTTAGGCTAAGGGCCCCGTTCCATGGTCGCCTGAGGACAAGAAGGTGGTCAGGCCTCTGTCCCAAGGCCTCAGGCCCACCAGCTTTTCCCACCAATCCCGTCTCACTTGAATCCCCCTCACCTGGGTGATGAGTTCAGTTTTCTCCGCCGGCTTCCCTCCACTCTGAGCCGGGCCTCGACGGCCCCCAGCTCTGTCCGAGGCAGCCTGAGGTACTGCCCAGCACTGTCTGCAGAGGAGGCTGCCTGGATAGCCAGGGTCAGCACCCTGGCTTGTCTGGGGTCTCCCTCTGGCTCAGCATCTGTGGTGGCTCCTCAGCCTGTTCTCCCCGGGGGCGGAGAGAATGGACCCCCTTCCTTGTGCTGCTGGGTGGCAGGGGAGCTGGCTTGGCCCCCGCCTGCTGCCCTTCCCATCAGCATACCAGGCATCCCCCAGGCCCTGACACCACACGGCGGAGAAGAACTGGCTCCCCTCTACATCTGGCTTCTCGTTTGTCAAATGGGAGATAAGGGATTGGGGTTAATGATGTGCCACAGTGATGCCAACTGTCTCCCTAGCAGCATCCCCTTAGCCGCCCCGGCCCTTAACTGTGTCTCCAGCCCAGGAAGAGGCAGAGGAGGCAGACAATGAGGGCAGCCAGGCCCACGTGGACGCCCACCACGGCCCCCGACAGCGAGCTGCTCTCATCCTGGCTGCAGGAGCAGCCGGCCTTGGACTCTGTGGACATAGGGCCATCTTTCAGAGGACCAGAGGTGGAGGCCAAGCCCTGCCCTCCCTATTGGTCTTTTGGGAGGGCGCTGACCCCACTCACCAGGGGTGGCTGGGGGCACATCACGCAGAGAGACAAAGCGGGCACTGCTTTCACCATCACCGTTCGCCGTTGAACGCCTGCAGCTTGATCTCGTGGAGGCCAGCGGGCTCTGCAGGGAGCAGAGCATGAAGGGACCAGGCCTTCGGGGCCAGCTCACTCTGGGAAGGGGCCCGGAGGTCACACAGGCAGGTTCGGGGCCTCACCCAGGTCTGTGTACAGGAAGGAGCTGACGCTGCTGGCCAGGAGCAGGGGCCCCTTGAAATGGGCCACGAGCAGCTTGCGGTGAAAGAGTTTGAAGCCCTGGTTGGGCCCTGGCTGGGGTGGCAGCTCCCAGGAGGCCTGCACGGTGGTGGCGTTGAGCACTCTGGTGGAGAAGCCCAGGGCAGCAGGCGCTGCAGAGGAAACAGGGCGAGCTGGTCAGTAGCCCCTTTCAGCCCTCAGCCAGGGACTCTGCAGGGCTGGAGAGGCTGTCACTCACTATTGCCCACTGTGGAAGCATGGATGGGGGCAGAGTCCTCGCTGGCACCCTCTGCTGAGTACGCCCGCAGGTGGATGGAGTAGGCTGTGGCAGGCTCCAGGCTGGAGAAGACATGCTCAAAGGTGCCTCTGCTCACAGCCTCCTGGAGCTCCAGGCCAGCTGGCTCTGGGGAGCAGAGAGCTTGGCATATCAGGATCCTTCTCCCTCACTAGCCCCCACCCCCACAAAACAGGGACAAAGCCCCTCCTGGGGCCTGGCTGGGCAGGCTTCCAAGGGGAGCCGGGAAGGGGCTGCAGGGGTTGGAACTCAGATGACAAGGGATGAGGATGAGAGAGGCCTGGAATATTGCACCCTGAAGAGCAGTAAGGAAGCCCCAGAGAACCATACGCAGAGGCACCCAGCTCGGAGCCACACACCCAGAGGCCTGATGAGCGTCCAGAGGGGCCTGGAGACCACTAAGGAGGCTGGGGCCCAGAGAGTGAGCGCGTGGGACTTGCGCTGGGACGCCACCAGTCAGGGGCAGAGACCTGGCCCAGGGTCTGAGCTCCAAGCTGTGTTCACCCACCCACCCACACCCACCTCCCACAGGCCGGAGGTGCAGCACATAGCAGATGATGTCCCCGCTGGAGGGGGATGGCTCCCAGGACACTTGAATGGCCGGGGTGGACAGGGCTTTAGCCTGCAGGCCTCTGGGGCTGAGGGGAGGCTCTGGGCCCCCTGTCACTGCCAGGTGGGCACTGCCCTGGCTGGAGCCAGTGCTGTTCCCTGCCACACATTGGTAGATGGCCTCGTCCTCAGCAGAGACCCCAGCCAGCATCTGTGCTGGGGAAAGACAAACACAGCCGCTGGGGATCCCTTCCTGCTGAGCGCCCCCACCCCCAGCAGGTGGCCCTAGGCAGAGAAGGCTCCCTATCTCAGACCTGCCCAGGGGCAGAAAGACGGACCACCTGAGCCTGGGCACGACCTGTAGGGGAGCAGGCCCGGCAGACCCTCCTGTGGGTGGGGGAACTTGCTGGGGGTCTCTGTGTGAATGGTGGATTTGAGAGAGTAGATTTAGGTAGAGAGTGTCATGTGTGGGTGAGGGGTGAATGCCTGGGGCGGATGGACGTACACACGTTGACCGGGGGAGCAGACATGGACACCTGTTGTGAGTCAGCCGTACTTTATCTCCAGGACTCAGCACCTTCCCGTTCTTCAACCAGACCAAGCGGGGCTCAGGGACACCCTGGGCCAGGCAGGTGAAGATGGAGCTGCTGTCCGGAGGCTTGGACAAGGACTGTGGCCACTGGACAAACTCGGGGGCCGCTGGGCTGGCATGGCGTGGTGGAAGGGGCCTTGAGGCTGGGCTTCTTGCCCTCCCCCCCACCCCCACCTGCGCGGGTTCCCATCAGCTGGATGAGACGCCCCAGGCGTCCTGCTTCCCCGTCGGCGGCGGCGCAGGGAAGGGTTACCCAATAAACAAGTACGCACGGGCTTATTAGTGTTTATTTACTAATCTGTAGTGCGCAATTCACCTGTTTTTCAACACATCGAAGATTGAGTGAAGCCTATGTGAAACTGCGCTGCGGTGGTTAAGTAAACCCAAGTAAGCCAGTGCGTACTGGTTAATCCGCCCAGCGCGGGCAGCAGTTCCGGGCTGCGCTACCAGCGAACGCTCGAAGTGGGCTTCACTCCGGGGAGAGGAAGGGAGTACTCCCTGTCCGGGAGAACCCCCAGGGACCAGGCGCCCCGGCCCTCGGTGCTCACCTTGCACGAGCAGGACGCCCTGCGCCGTGCGCCCCACTCGGGTGCCCGGCCGGTTGGCGGCGCAGACGTAGACGCCCGAGTGCTGGACCGACACATCGGAGATCAAGAGGTTCCCAGTGCCCAGGACTTGGATACCCTCTACGCCGATGGAGTGGCCGCCTGCGGAAAGCGCGAGGGGTCAGGGCTGGGAAAGGGCGAGGGGGGTGGGCGCGCGGCGGGGGACGGGGCGGCTGCGCACCCAGGCGGCTCCAGGAGACGAGCGGCCGCGGGTGGCCGGGGGCGATGCACTCCAGCACCGCAGTCTGGTGCACCGTGAGTGTCAAGTTCTGAGGCCCCGACAGGATCTCCTGCTCCTGCAGCAATCGTGGGGGGGTCCCACTGGCGGTGGAAACAGGCAGGTTGATGGATCAGGAAACAGAACACCCCGCCTCAGGGACACACACTTGTGTCCGCGGCGTCGCCCTGTAGCCCACAATGTGACCAGACCGCTGACCTTTGCTCAGCAACTGCTGTTTTATCCCCATTTTACAGATAAAATGATTTGCCCAAGGTCCCACGCAGTAAATATCAGGGCTGAGACCCTCTGGTGGCTAAGCAGGGCTTGGGGCTGGAAGGGAGAGGAGACAGTGTGAGCCCCAAGTGCACCGGTGGGTGGATGGCCTTCTGCAGCGTCAGAGCATTAATTGGCCCCACCTTCCCCAGGTGCCTCACCCTGGAAGCAGGTGGAACAGCGGCCTCCATCCCTTCCCTAAGCCACCGACAAAGGTGGCAGGAGACCGATCCCTTAGAAGCATACCAGACCCCTTAAGAACGCAGCGTGCCTCCACTGCTCAGGAGGATATCACCTTTTTTTGAAATAACTATTTTGGGTCTAAACTGCATATTCATTTCATACTATTTCCCCCCCACACACACACACCATTTCATTATTCAATAAATCATCATTGGGCGGCCACTGTGTGCCAGGCACTATTCTCACACTTGGAATACAGTTGTGAAGAACATAGCGAAAAGCAGACCCTTGTTTCCCTTGATCCCATCACCCCCATTTTTGTTTTTGCCTCCTGTACTACATTAAAAAAACAAAAAAAAAAAAAAACCCTGTTGTGAGTATATCCCACTTGAATTTAGAGACCATCTCAAGAATAGATTTGACACGTTGAGCACTAATAATAACCGAAGACCAGACGAGTTGTGGGAAGACATCAAGGACATCATACATGAAGAAAACAGAGAGGGTCATTAAAAAGGGAAGAAAGAAAAGACCAAAATGGATGTCAGAAGAAACTCTGAAACTTGCTCTTGAACCTAGAGTAGCTAAAGCAAAGGGAAGAAATGATCACATTAAAGAGCTGAACAGAAGATTTCAAAGGGCAGCTTGAGAAGACAAAGTATTATAATGAAATGTGCAAAGACCTGGAGTAGGAGAACCAAACGGGAAGAACATGCTCAGCATTTCGCAAGCTCAAAGAACTGAAGAAAAAATTCAAGCCTCAAATTGCAGTTTTGAAAGATTCTATGGGCAAAAGAAGCATCAAAAGAAGATGAAGGGAATACAGAGTTGCTGTACCCAAAAGAATTGGCTGACTTTGAACCATTTCAGCAGGTAACATATGATCGATCATGAACCAATGGTGCTCAAGGAAGAAGTCCAAGCTGCACAGAAGACATTGGTGAAAACAAGGCTCTGGGAATTGACAGAATACCAATTAAGATGTTTCAACAAACAGATGTAGCGCTGGAAGTGCTCACTTGTCTATGCCAAGAAATTTGGAAGACAGCTACCTGGCCAACCAACTGGAAGAGATCCATATTTGTGCCCATTCCAAAGAAAGGTGATCCAGCAGAACGCAGAAATTATCGAACAATATCCTTAATATCACACGCAAGTAAAATTTACTGAAGATCATTCAAAAACAGTTGCGGCAGTACATTGGCAGGGAACTGCTGGAAATTCAAGCCAGATTCAGAAGAGGATGTGGAACCAGGGATATCATTGCTGACATCAGAAGGATCCTGGCTGAAAGCAGAGAATATCAGAAAGATGTTTACCTGTGTTTTATTGACTATGCAAAGACTGTGTGGCTTATAACAAATTATAGATAACTTTGCAAAGAATGCGAATTACAGAACATTTAATTGCGCTCATGCAGAACCTGTACATAGACCAAGAGGCAGTCATTCGAACACAACAAGAGGATACTGAGGGGTTTAAAATCAGAAAAGGCATGTGTCAAACTTGTATCCTCTTCCCCATACTTAGTCTGTATGCTGAGCAAATTATCTGAGAAGCTGGATTATAGGAAGGAGAATGCAGCATCAGGATTGGAGGAAGATTTACTAACAACCTGTGATGTGCGGATGAAACAACCTTGCTTACTGAAAGCGAAGACAACACTTAACTGATGAAGATCAAAGACTCCAGCCTTCAGAATGGATTACACTTCAACATAAAGGAAACAAAAATCCTCACAACTGGACCAATAAGCAACACCATGATAAATGGAGAAAATACTGAAGTTGTTAAGGATTTCATTTTACTTGGATCCACAATCAACCCAATAGTCAGGAAATCAAAAGACGCATTGCACTGGGCAAATCTGCAGCAAAAGACCTCTCTCAAGTGTTAAAAAGCAAAGATGTCTCTTTGAGGACGAAGGTTCGCCTGACCCAAGCCATTGTATTTTCACTCACCTCGCGTGCACGTGAAAGCTGGACAATAAATAAGGAAGACCGAAGAAGAATTGATGCATTTGAATTGTGGTGTTGGCAAACAATATTGGATATACCATGGACTGCCCAAAGAACGAACAAATCTGTCTTGGAAGAAGTACAGCCAGAATGCCTCTTAAAAGCGAGGATGGTAAGACTTCATCTCTTGTACTTTGGACATGTTATCAGGAGAGACCAGTCCCTGGAGAAGGACATCATGCTCGGTAAAGTAGAAGGTCAGCAAAAAGAGGAAGACCCTCAATGAGATGGATTGACGCGGTGGTTGCAACAATGGGCTCAGACACAGCAACAATTGTGAGGATGGCGAGGGACGGGGCGGTGTTTCGTTCTGTTGTACATAGGGTCGCTGTGAGTCAGAACTGACTCCACAACACCCAACAATAACAACACGCGTATTTTTCAGTGACATTGATTACATTTTCCACAACGTGTCAACATTCTCATTATTTTCATTTTGGTTTAACAGTTTCTTAGATGTCTTCTATTAAGAACTCAGAAAATTTTGTCTCTAAAATGAAAGTTTCTCAAGGACTGGTTTAAAATCCTATACATTTTATTCTTCCAGGTCTAGAATAATATTTCTTTCCTTTGTTCATTCACTCATCTATTCATACAGAAACTATCTACTGAGGGTTTACTTTGGGCCAGACACCCCTCGGTTTGCCTCTTACAAGCTCCTGTCCAGCCTGTGCATTCACTGGAATGTCCTGGCCTTAGACAAGGAGGCTGTTCCGCCTGGTCAGACCACTCATTGGGGTGGAGTCTGGACCTCCATGTGCCAGGCATCGTACTGTAGGTCCTGCACACATCATCTCCCTTGATCTTCCCACAGCCTGTGAGGCTCGCACATAGAAAACCAAGTATCAGGGAGGTTAAGTAACTTGTCCAAGGTCAAGCAGATTAGCAGAGCTGGAACTCAAACATGGATCTTGGTAGCATCCCCTCTCCCCCTGACTGAAAGTCCGGGGAATTCTGTGTCCCTGGTGCCTGCCCCAGGATATGTGGCCAGCTGACTGCTTTTGGAGTCAATGGTTCAGGGCCTTGGTCCCCGGGCCCTGCCCCTGGGGAAGAGACCACACAGATCCCAGCTTGTTTCCTGACAATTCAGGTAAACTCCGAACCTTCAAACCCTTGGTTACTGGTTAGCTCACTGTCTCACAGCAGGCACCTGCTCCTCCTACTGGCCTCCCTGCAGTTGGTTCTCTGGTCAGTCATTCCCCTGCCTCAGCATGGGCCGGAGGGAGAATCCCATGCTTGCCCCCGAGAGCCAGCGTCTGGCCATGGAGGCCTGGGATCCTGCCCTGTGCTCCTGCCCCAGATGGTTGATGGGAACAGGAAGTAGGAGGCAGGGGAACCCCACCCAGGCTTCCCACTGTTCTCAGCGAGGAGCCTCTGATCCCTCCTTTGCTCTGAGCTTCTAAGTCAGTTCCAGATCACAGACACAACTCCTCCTTCCCCTCTAAGTCTTTAATTGAAAATATCTATCTATCTATCTATCTATCTAGAGAGAGTCTTTGGTAAAATTTGGTTAGAGATGTTTTGAAGTCCATGCGGAGGCATCAGGATGGTTTTCCATGGTTTCCCTGCTTCTTTATACCCTGGAGCCCTCTAGTGGATGATTCAGGCATGACGTCCCCTCATGGACACCTTGGCACCACGGCTTCAGGCGTTGGGAGTCAGTCTAACCAGAGTCTCTCCAGCTGGGAACCAACCCCTGCCAGGCTCTGCTGCGGCCCTCACTTTAGACATGAAACTCTTGCACCCAACTCGGCCAGCATTTGGGGTCATCCTGGATGTTTCATCTCAGATACAAAGGAGGAAACACACACGTGTGCACACCCACATACAAACACACACAGCACACCTCCATGCACAAACACACCCTTGCACACACATGCACAGGCAAGCACACACACGCACGTTGTTTCCATTAGGTGCCGTCAAGTCGGTTCCGACTCATAGTGACCCTGTGCACCACGAAATGGAACACTGCCCGGTCCTGCGCCATCCTCACAATCGTTATGCTTGAGCCCACTGTTGCAGCCACGGTGTCAATCCATCTCGTTGAGGGTCTTCCTCTTTCTCGCTGACCCCCTACTTTACCGAGCATTATGTCCTTCTCCAGGGACTGATCCCTCCTGACAACATACACAGATTTGCACCCAGGCACCCACTCCCATCTGAGATGCAGGCTGATTGAGCCCCCCCACTCTAAACCCATCACGGGCTCCCACTGCCCTCTGGATCAAGTGCAAACTCCTTCTTAGGATGGGCCAGGCCTACCTCTCCAACACCGGCTCTGTTACCCTGAATTGTACCCAGTCTATGGTCCGGCAGCAGGGAGCTCCCTGTGCAGACTGTCAGGTTCTCACCCTTTGCATTGACACACACCCTGGCCCTCTGCCTGGAATGCCCTCCTCCGTCTTCTTGACCTTGGCCTGCCTTTCTCTTCTCAGCCTCCAACACCCGTTGGCTGTGACTTACTCCGGGAGGCCCCCCACAACCGTCCCTTACCTGCAGCCCCAGCTGGGTTCCCACAGCTTCTCCTTCTCTACCAGACTGTGAGCTCCAGGAAGCCAGTGAGAGACCGAGCCTGCTCAGACTGTGTCCCACTGTCCTCTACCCTGCACAGGTGCTCACAGGTGCTCTACGAAGTGTTTGCACCCCGTCCAACCCCGCTGGCCACACCCTCTCTGCGCAGCGCCGGCCCCCACACCTTCCTTTCGGCCTGGTGCCCACGCTGATTCCCCTGGTCCCTGCTTACCCCTCAGGGTCAGCTGGGCGTCCTGGCTGTGGCGAGTACTGGCCACATTACATGCCACGCAGCGGTAGATGCCCACGTCCGCCTGGCTCACACCGGTGACATGGAGGATGCTGCCAGGCAGCAGTGTGACCCTGAGGAAGCAGAGGTCGGGGGTCAGGGGTCACCAACCTGCGCCTGGACCGCCCACCTGCCGCACGGCCCTCCCAGCTGGCTCCACCTCTGGGTGTTGGTGGAAGTGGGACAGACCTGAGGGCATGGGGCGGGGGGGCCGCCTGAGCACCCACAGACCCAGCCTGGGCTGAGCCCCCAGCAGCTGTGCCCCAGGGCCCTGGCTCCCTCCTCTGCCACCTCTTGCTGACCACTGTGCAACCCCAGAGCCTCTGTCCGTGACTCTTGTGGACACAGAACTTCATAAAAAAATATATAAAATTGTATCTTACAATTGTGTTGGTTCAAAGACAAATAGAATCCAGGCTGGATTCATTATTCTATATTCATTATATTCATTTTTTCTTCTGGTTTTAAAGAAATAAAAATTAAAACAGTTTTGTGAGCCTCTAAAGTTATCATGGGCTCTAGGCAATGCATACTGTGCCGAGTGGGTTACGTCGGCCCTGCCAGGTCCCCTCTGGACAACTCTGGGCCCCCAAGGGTGCCCTCTCGCCCACCCCCGCCCCGGGAGTGGCCCCGGGCACTCACCTGACAGCAGTACCTGGACCCGCCGGCTCACCAGCTGCCCGTAGCGGTGCTGGGCCATGCAGGGATACTCGTGGGCGTGGGAAGGGAGGCTCCAGCATGAGGGCAGGGCGGCCAGGTGCAGGGAGCCGTCCGGCATCAGGGTGGCAGCGCTGTCATCGGCCAGGACCAGCCCGTCCCGCTGCCAGGTAATGGACACGGGCGGCTTGCCCTCCACCTGGCAGGGCAGCGCCAGCGGGTGCTCCTGCACGGCCACCACGTCGCCTGGCTCCCGTACGAAAGGCCAGCTCGGAGCCTGCAGTGCAGCCTGCAGAGACAGCCAGCGCGGGCTGGTCACGGTGGCCCCCTGGGCATGACAGCCCCCTGGTCACAGCAGCCCCCTGGGTATGATGGCCCCCTGGACATGGCGGCCTCCTATGGCCCACCTCTGCCCACCACCTCCCCACCAACTCTGACCCCTTCCAGAGGGCGGGGGGAAAGGGGCATGGAGACAGGATTTTCCTCGTGGGGGCCTTGGGACATCAAGGACGGGGTGAGGAGGGAGAGAGGGCTGGCAGTCTGAGGAGCAGGCCGGCCTGGCGGGCACCATGATTCATGGCCTCTTCCAGCCAGGCCCCGGCAATGGGGAGGGGGTGGGGCAGCACCATGGAGAGGTCAGGGGCCAAGGGCGGGCATTGTGCTCCCCCCGGGGACAAAGGCTGCTCCCCTCTCTCCCCTGCCAGCCCATCTGCCTGTCTGCCCACGGGGTCAGCTTCCCAGGACTCCTGGCTCCCCTTCCCCTCCCACCGCCAGGACCCCGGCCCTGACTACAGAAGGAGCACACTTACACACACTCACACACACACACACAATCAGTCACACACTCATTTACACACATTCGCACACACAACTCAGTCACACACAGTCACACACACACACTTCTTCACACTCACACACGGACACACACGGCCTAGAAGTCACAATTGCACAGCCACACACTTAGAGTCACAAGGTCATCAGCTCCCCCACCTTCTAGACACAGACCAAGGGTACAAACACAGGTCACTCGTCCATGCCCTACAGACTCAAAGTCATAAATAGACCCGCACAGGGCCACAGACACACTTAGGCATCACGGGCCCAGAAACACATAAGTGCACCCCCAACCACACACACCCATAAATATGATGGCTCAGCAGGCGAGACTCAGCCTGGCCTCCCTCCCGAGTAGAGGCGCAGGTGGAGGGGCTGGGGTAGAAAGACCCCAGAGCCAGCAGGTCCAGGCCTCAGCCAGCCTGGGGACACGCAGGGACATCTGAGGGGAAATCCCTCGGTCCTGCCTCTCCAGGACCCTCTGCCTGTCCAGCCCCTTGGTAACCACTTGCCCTTCCAGCTGACTCAGTCCCAGGCCTATACCCAGAGTCTGCCCCAGAGGCCCTCCCTGCACACAGCTCCCCCCTGCACCCACTTGCCTCTGCCTCCCACTCATCCCCTCTTCTCTGCTCTCCTACCGGGTTTCTCCACCTCTGCCCCTGCCACCATCTGTCCCTCGGTCCCTCCTCCCCGTCTTGTCTTCCCCCCTTTCTCTGCTGTCTGCCCCCTCATGTCATGCTCCCCCATTCTCCTCCATAAGTCTGGCTGCTCCCGTACCCTCCTGGCCCAGCCTGCCTCTGGCCTCCCCAGCCCCTTACCCCAGTCTTGGAGCAGCAGCAGCAGCAGCCCCCGGCCCATGTCCCTTCCAGACCCGGCTCCCCTCAATCCCAGGCTGCCTCCCAAGCAGCCCTGATCTTCTGCCTTCAGCCTGGGGGCTCCTGGGCTGTGGGCATTCCCCACCCCACCCTCAGGGGCACAGTGGGGGGTATCTGGCCTTGCTTTGAGGAGCCCACGATCTGGGGGCGCTGAGGTCTGGGGTCGAGGTTGGAGGCTGTTGTCCTTCTCTCTATCCTCCCCAGAGCTGGGTCTCTCTTTGCTTTTAGCTGTAGCCCCCTCTCCACCCCCATCCCACTGTCCCCTCCTCCCAGGGCCAGGGCCCAGACACTGAGACAATTGGGGCAGGGGAAAGGGGAGGGGGCAGGGGCCAATGAGAGCGGGGCAAACTTGGGGAGTCAGGCCCGACCCTTTCCCAGCCTCTGGAATCCTCTCCTAGTCTGTCAGACCCCCCCCCCACCTTTACTTTCTCTCAAACTTTGATCCAATGGGAGCAAAGTTCTAGAGGGAGTTGGGTGTCTGCTCCTCCAAACCGTCTCGGGGGACCCAGGGCAGACCCAGGTGGCTTGGATTCTGATTTGGGGGTGGGTCCTGGGGAGGGGTGCAGAGCCCCCCCGCCTAGCAGAGCCACCATCCCAGGTGCTTAGCAGGCCGACACAGGGAGCTCATCCCATTAGTTGGGTCACGGCCCCGCCGCCCCTCACCATTCAGTGTCACTTCCCTATTCTTACTGGGACAATGGATTGGGGCCGTCAGGGGCCGAGAGGTGGCCAGCCGGCAGGAGATGGGGGACCCAGCCATCTCAGGTCCAGCCTCCACCTGCCCCCATCCTAAGAAGAAGAAAGAAGCCCAAACCCTCCCTGTCCCCCACCCTCCATTCCCCAAGGCTGACCACCTGAAGGCCGGGGGTGGGGGCTGACTTTGAGACTCTCATTGTACAGAACCCCTGTCCTAAACTCCATCCTCCCTCCAAAAAGAATAGCTCCCGGAAAGATGAGAGGGTCCCTGGGAGACATGCTGGTGTCTGTGAGAGGGGACAAGGAGAAACGGCTGGGGAGCGCGGGGGACAGATTGGGGCAGATCACAAGGCACAGAGCACCGGGGCATCTACCTCGGGAGCTCCAGCCGTCCGGCTCCTGACTCAGCCTCTGCTGAACCTCCTTCCCTCCTCTTCCCCTCAGCTGTTTGTGTTTAGCTTTGCTCCCTGCTTAGTTTAGGTTGACCACCACCCCACCCTGCCTGAAGTCTCTGTAACACAAGCCCCATCTTCAGTCTTCACCCAACGTCCTCAGCCTCCTTTCTGTCTCAGCCGCCTTGCTCACAGGCCTTCAGAATTAGCTCGCGCCCCACTGGTCTCTCCCACCTCAGCCTCTTCCCTCCCAGACCAGTGGTCCTTGGTGCCCTGTCCCAGGGCTGGGCTACCCCTTAAAGGGCCTGACCCTGTGAGAGGAGCCGGCAGCCCCCCCACTGGGCCCTCCCTGCCCAGCCCTTCGACTGTCTGTCCTAGAGCCTCAGTTTCCAGTTCTCAACTCTTCCCCGAGCAGCCTCCTGAGTCAGGGAAAGGAGCAGAGGCCCTGGGGCCACGGAGACCTGGTCCAGATCAAGGTTCTGCCGCTTACTAGGTGTGTATCCTTGGGTGACACATTTACATCTCTGAGCCCGCTTCCTCACCTGTGAAATGGGGGTGGGGGTGGATGCATGATAGGAACAGCTTCCCTTCCGTGACTCCGAGAGGATTAAACGAGGTAAGGCTTGTCACAGGGTGCGGCTTGTCGCTGTCAGAACTGCCCACTCTCCAGTACCCACAGAGAAGCTGCCTCATCATCTCAGAACCCACACCCCAACGTGGCCCACAGGATGAAGGAGAATGACGGATATGGAAGTCCTAGCTCTGCCACCACCCAACCATCCCGCCTTGGGCTTGTGTCATTCACCTCTGAGTTGCCCTCACCTGGACAATGGCAAGACGGTCAGGTCCTATCTTTCAGAGTTGTGAGGATCAAAATGCCTTGCGCATTAAGGGCCAAGTACGACTTCTCCTCCTCCTTTCTTTTTAATGCTTTTTTAAATTTTTATATTTAAACAATAACTCCCCATTCTGCCAGCCCCCGGTAATCACTCATCTACTTTTGTCTGTATGCTTTTGGCTATTCTGAATATTTCATATAAGTGGGATCATCGTGTCTGACTTATTTCACTAAATGGAGTCCCTGGGTGGTGCAAATGTTTAAGCACTGGGCTACTAACAAGAAGGTTGGCAGTTTGAGCAAACCCAGAGGTGCCTTGGAAGAAAAGCCTGGCAATCTGCTTTTGAAAGCCCACAGCCGTGAAAACCCTATGGAGCGCAGTTCTACTCTGCAACAGATGGGGCCGCCATGCGTAGAAAGCAACTTGACAGGAACTAGTTTATTCCACACAGTGTAATGTTTTTGAGGTTTACCTATGTAGCGACATGTATTAGAACTGCATTTCTCTTTATGGCTGTCTACTGTATGTGTATACCGCGTTTGGATTATCCATTCTGTTGATGGACACTTGGCTATTGTGAATAATGTTGCAATAAACATTGCTGTACAAACATCCATTTGAGTCCCTGCCTTCAATTCTTTTGGGTAAAGAGTAGTCCCCCCTTATCCGCGGATTTATTTCTGCAGTTTGAGTTACCCGTGATGAAGTGCGGTCCGAAAAGGTTAAATGAGTGGCGTGATGAAATCTCTCACCTTCCCACCCCACATCTCACCCAGGGAACACATTCACGTAACTTTTATTGCAGTAGATTGTTATTATTGTTCTATTTATTATTAATTATTGTTATTAATCTCTTACTGTGCCTAATTTATCAATTAAACGTTATCATAGGTATATATGTATAGGTCAAAAGGTAGTATATATAAGGTTTGGTCAGTACAAGCCACAGTTTCAGGCATACACGTGGGAGGGGGCCTTGGAATGTATCCGCCTCGGATAAGTGGGGGAGTGGAATTACTGGGCTATATGGTCATTCTATGTTTAACTTTTTGAAGAACTACCAAACTGTTTTCCCCAGCTGCTGTGCATTTTACATTCCCACCAGCAAAGGACGCGGGTTCCAATGTCTGCACATCCTTGCCAACAATTGTTATTTTCTTTTTTTTTAATGACAGCCATCCTACTGGTTGTGAGTGGTATCTCATTGTGGTTTTGATTTGCATTTCCGTAATGACTAACAGGAGGCCCTGGGAGGTACCAACGGTTAACTCTCATGTAATAACCAAAAGATTGGAGGTTTGAGTCCACCCAGAGGTGCCTTGGGAGAAAGGCCTGGGGATCTACTTCTGAAAAATGATGACCAAAGCCATGGTATTTTCAATCACCTCATATGCTTATGAAAGCTGGACAACGAATAAGGAAGACCGAAGAAGAATTGATGCATTTGAATTGTGATGTTGGGGAAGAATATTGAATAGACCATGGACTGCCAGAAGAACGAGCAAATCTGTCTTGGAAGAATTACAGCCAGAACGCTCCTTAGAAGCAAGAATGACAAGGCTTCGACTCTCTTACTTCAGACCCGTTATCAGGAGGGTCCAATTCCTGATGAAGGACATCATGCTTGGTTAAGTAAAGGCTCAGCAAAAAAGAGGAAGACCCTCAACAAGATGGATTGACACAGTGGCTGCAGCAATGGGCTCAAACATAGAAATGATTATGAGGATGGCGCAGGACTGGGCAACATTTCGTTTTGTTATACACAAGGTCACTATGAGCACCTAACAACAACAACAAATACCTGAATTCATTTTCTATTGCTGCTGTATTGAATCACCCAAAATTTAAACAACAGAAATTTATTATCTTACAGTTCGGCAGGTCGGAAGTTCAAAATGGGTCTCACTGGGCTTAAACCAAGGTTTTAGCAGGGCTGCATCCCTTCTGGAGGCTCTAGGGGAGGGAGTGTCATGGATTGAACTGTGTCCTCCAAAACATGTGTCCACTTGAACTTGCAGACGAGCAATTGATGGTCTGTTCTGCAGTCAGCTCCTGGATTTGTCTGGACTGAGGATATTGAGTTTCTGCATCGTCTCTTTCCACAGACATAATCAATCTGATTCCTGTATAATCCATCCGGTGAGGTCCATGTGTATAGCCATCGTTTGTCTTGTTGGAAAAAAGTATTTCTGATGAGTAAGTCATTAGTTTTGCAGAATTCCATCATGCAATCTCCGGCAACATTCCTATCACCGAGGCCATATGTTCCCATTACTGATCCCTCTTTTTTGTTTCCAACTTTCACATTCCAATCACAAGTAATTATCAATGCGTCTTGATTGCACATTTGATCAATTTCTGACTGCAGCGGTTCATAAAAATCTTCAATTTCTTCATCTTTGGCATTTGTGGGTGGTGTGTAGATTTGGAGAACAGTTGTACTAACTGGTCTTCCTCGTAGGCGTATGGATATTAACCTGTCACTGCCAGCGTTGTACTTCAGGATGGATCTTGAAATGATCTTTTTGAGGATGAATGCAATGCCGTTCCTCGTCAATTTGTTGTTCCCAGTGTAATACACCATATGATCGTCAGGTTCAAAATGGCCAATACCAATCCATTTCAGCTCACTAAAGCCTAGGATATCAGTTTCCAAGCATTCTGTTTTATTTTTGACAGCGTCCAATTTTCCTTGATTTACATTTCATACATTCCATGTTCTTCTTATTAACGGATGTTTACAGCTGTTGCTTCTCATTTTGAGTCATGCTACATCAGCAAATGAAGGTCCAGAAGGCTTTACTCCATCCATGTCATAAAGGTCGACGATACTCTGAGGCGTCAGCTCTTCCCCAGTCGTATTTTGAGTGCCCCCTAACCTGAGGGGCTCATCTTCTGGCACTATATCAGACAGTGTTCTGTGGCCATCCATAAAGTTTTCACTGGCTAATTTTTGGAAGCAGATTGCCAGGTCTTTTTTCTAGTCTGTCTCAGTCTGGAAGCTCCAGTGAAACCTGTCCACCATGGGGAACCCTACTGGTATTTGAGATACCAGT